TGCACTCCAGTCTGGGTGACAGAGTGAGATTCCAACTCAAAAAAAAAATAAATAAATAAAATAAAATAAATAAATAAAGTGATTTTTTTTCCTTTTAGTTTTGATTGATTGATTGATTGAGTTGGAGTCTCACTCTGTCACCCAGGCTGGAGTGCAGTGGCATGCTCACAGCTACCGAAGCCTTGACCTACTGGGCTCAGGCTATCCTTCAACCTCAGCCTTTCAAGTAGCTGGGATTACAGACTTGAGTCACCGTGCCCACCCAACCTTCAAGTTTTGTGCCCATTTAAAAATTGGGCAAAATTTTGAGATCCCTGACTCAAAAATAGATAAATAAAATAAAAATTGGGTTAGTTATCTGTCTTCTTCTTGATTTGTAGGAGTTCTTTATGTATTCTGGGTACATGACTTTTGTATTACAAATGTCTTCATCCTGTCTGTGGCTTGCCTTTTTACTTTTGTATGCCAGCAGTGTATGGCACATGGATTGTCAGTGTTTTTCTATTTTATCCATTCTGGTGTATATATAGTGGCATCTAATCATAGTTTTAATTTGTGTTTCTGTGATGGCTATTGATGTTGCACACGTTTTCATGTGCTTATTTACCTTCTGTATTTCCTCTTTGGTGAAGTTTCTGTTCACGTCTTTTGTCCATTTTTAAAATTGGTTGGTGGTTTTCTTACTGTTGAACTTTTGGAGTTCTTTGTATATTCTGTATACAAGTTCTTTTTCTGATAATGTGGTTACAAATATTTTCTCCTTGTCTTTTGATCATCTTCCCAGGATCTTTCTTAGAACAAAAGTTTATAATTTTGTTGAAGTTCAATATATCTTTTGTCTTTTATGTACTGTGTTCTTGGTATCATGTCTAATAACTTTTTGCTTAACCCCTTTACTCTTTTCCCCTGAACATTTTATAGTTTTATAACTATAAATTTGAGTTTATGATCCTCTTTGAATGAATTTTTTTTTTTTTTTTTTGTCTGAGTCTCACTCTGTCGCCCAGGCTGGAGTGCAGTGTCACGCTCATAGCCACCACAGCCTCAACTTGCTAGGCTCAAGCAATCCTTCCACCTTAGCCTTCCAAGTAGCTGGAACTTTAGGTACGTGCTACCATGTCTGGCTAATTTTTGGATTTATTACAGAGATGAGGTCCTGCCAAGTGACCCAGGCTAGTCTCAAACCCTTGGGCTCAGGTAATCCTCTTGCCTCTGCCTCCCAAAGTGCTGGGATTACAGGTGTCAGCCACTGCACCTTGTCTGAGTTAATTTCTGTACGCAGAATAAGTTTTAGGTGGATATTTTTATTGCAAATCAATGTCTGGTTGTTCCAATACTGTTTGTTGAAGAGACTATCCTTTCTTTATTGAATTGCCTTTTCACCTTTGTCAGAAATCATTTGGCTATATTTGTGTGGATCTATTTCTGGACTCTCTATTCTGTTTCATTAATGTGTGTGTCTATCCCTTTGTTAATAGCACAATTGATTAATTTAGCTATTTTAATAACTCTTCAAGTTAGGTAGTGTGATATTTCCAGCTTTATTATTTTTCAATATTGTTTTGCTTATTATAATTCCCTTACTTTCTAGATAAATTTTAGAGTTAGTTTGTCTATATCTGTAAAATAATTCATGCTGGTAGTTTGATTGAAATTGAGCTAAATCTGTAACTTGAGAATTGACTTCTCTACTATCTTGAGATTTCCAATCCATTAACATAGTAGGTCTCTTCATTTATTTAGGTCTTCTTTGATTTCTTTTTTTTTATTGTAGTTCACTTTTTTTTTTTTTCTTTGAGTCAGAGTCTCACTCTGTCGCTCAGACTAAAGTGCAGTGGCCGCTCCCGGCCACTGCAGCCTCGATCTGCCGGGCTCCGGCGATCCTTCCGCCTCAGCTTTCCAAGTAGCTGGAACTATAGACACACACTACCATGCCCGGCTAATTTTTGATTTATTGTAGAGATGAGGTCTCACCAAGTTGCCCAGGCGGGTCTCGAACCCGCGGGCTCAGGCAATTCACTCACCTCAGCCTCCCAAGGCACGGGATTACAGGCTGAACCACCGAGCCCAGCTAGCTTTTATTTTCCATGGGGTATAAACAAAGAGGATCCCAGATCTTTTAATTGTATCTGATATATTTTCCAGTCATATA